CCTGAATCAAACATTAAGGTCATGAGAATGAATTAAATGATCACCAACTGAAGAAGCTCTACATTGAAAACCAAATTCTCATTGTGAGAACCTTAGGAAACATAGAGAACAGAATGGAGAATATGCATACTGATGTCAGGGTGTAAAGGGTTAATTTGTGTTTAACTCCTGAACTTTCCTATATCCTTTTGTTACCCATAGCAGTATGAAACAACTATCTGTATGTTTATTTGTATGTAAAGATAAGATAAGATAAGATAAGATAACTTTATTTATACACGGTATTTCCATCAGTTGTTAATTATCTATAAAGGTATATCTATCTTCCTAACTATAATAAAATCTAATAACAACAATTCAAATAAAAGAAACAAATAAAAAATCTGCTTTTCATGGAGGTGGTGTCTAAAATTTACTTAAAATTAAGATATTACTTTAAACTGTGGCGACTTAATTTAGATTTGAAATCGGTCAGTGAAGACGCTTGTCTTAGGTCTAAGGGTAAGTCGTTCCACAAGTGAGCTCCACTGTACAAAAAACTTCTCTTAAGATAATCAGTTCGAGGTTGTGGAAGAACTAATTTGTTTTCCGTATTCCTTAATTCCTTTTCCGTATTCCTTATGTCTTGCTGTCAATAAAATGCCATTCTCAAATGTATGAATAATGCAAAGGTAATAATTATTTGAAGAAAATCATACAATTTGCAAATAAGCTGGTTTCTTCTTTAGAATTTCAAGCATAATCAAAGGGGCAAAAGGAAAGAAAAGTTTCAAAACATTAGAAAACTGTACAAGTTTAAAATTAGCCAGAGGTGAGATGAAGAGAATATAGCAATTGCAAATTACCCATCCCCTCAATTGTTCATTTGATTTTTTAATCTGATCCTCCCTCTATAGTTAGTTAAGAAATCAACCCAAGAGCAGTATGCTCAAGCTGTACAATACAAAGTGATGTAATAGTTATCTCAAAAATTATTGCTTAGTAGATTATGTTTTAAATGCTGTTTTTATATTAGTTGTCATAGACTGATGAATAGAATTTCAAGGTTCTAAATTCCTCTTTCATTCTACAACAATTCTTTTTAGTTTACTGACAAATTTGAAAAGCTGCAGTTAATGATATATGTGTGTTCCCATTAAGAGTCCATAATCATCCAGATTTGTAGCCTGAAAAAAATTCCTCATTCACTTTTCTTTCTTTCACTCTCAGGAACTAATGTTGTGGCATCCAAATCTAGTACAAGAAGAAAGAAATGTCAGCATACTGAGGGTCACCAGGTAGAAATTTTCTAGTTTAAGAGTGAAATTTGGGATAATGTGAAGACTTCCCAGTGCAACGAAGAACCTTGCATACTGGCTAAACAAGTGATTAGGACATTGAAACACAGAGGTTTTTGAGACATGAGCAGTGGCTGGATATTAAAGAATTAAAGAAGACATCAGCTAGCAGACATTTTTTAATATTTTACTCCACATGTTGAAGACTAAAACTTTAAGAGTTATGTGGCAGAGTGTGAAAAGCTGAGTTCTGTAGAGTAAGAGGGTTAAAAGGTTAAACCAACCACAAGGTCTCCAGTTGACTGATTGATGTCAAAGCATGGCAGAAGTAATCATATTTTGTTTGCAATCAGAGTACGCATCTCAAAATTGTTTGTGCTCATTACCCAACCTGCTGTCAATCATTGGTTAAGTTGTCAATTACCAAAGGTTTGTCACCAGAAATCTTTGATCCTTGGTTCAATAAAAAGTCGTGTATACAGAAGCTTTAATTTCCTTATGGGTAATGCAAATAAGTCTAAAATACTATTATCAGGCAGTAGCTATGGCAAAAACTTATCACGTAACTTATACATTTACCTTCAATTGACAGAGGGGAGAATTTTTGCTGGTCAGCACCAACATTTAACAGATCTCCAGTGCTTGTTGCCAGTGTAGGATTAGTATAGGCTCCTTTACAATCAGTGCTGTCATCAGGCTTGGAAGATGATGGACTATGCTTTGTGTCATCCTCAGAAGAATTGTATGGGGAAGGTCCAATCAGGGAGAGCAATACAGGAAGATAGCAAAGGCCATGGAATAATCCATAAAATACAACACATAAAAACACCTGATGATTAATAAAAATTGGTAAGTACAAGTTTTAGGCTAAGGTTGACTGGCAAAAGTGCTATAGCACTGTGTCTTAATTACCTCTAATGATCACTGCTGTTCAATTCTGTGTTTAACTCCAAAAATGGTCTTTTGTTACCCACAGCGGTATGACTGAAGGTTATAGAAGAAGTCTTACCCTGTGTCGGTTTTGCTTTACTTTGCTCTATGCCTATAAAACTTGTGCCACTTTTTCAACCAATTGGACACAAACTGAAACCAATTGTGACTTGGTTGCTAGCTTTTATTTTGTTGTGTAAGAAAGTTTGCTTGTTTTCACTCCAAGCTATCATCAGCTACTTTTGATCTTTTTGAAATTTTGATTGCTAGACTCAGTTGAAAAGTGCTCTACTTGAAAGTTATTACTATGATATCTTACCTTAAAGAAAGTCATTGTCGGATAAGAATTGGAAAGCACCAGAGGGCCAACAGCTATGTATGTACTAAAACCACCATTCCAAACTGCAGGTCCCATGTCACGTAGGGTGGTCAGAGCTCGTTCTCAAAGAAAATAATTTAAGCATAAAAATTCTTAAAAATTACTGTTCGATGGACTAACTCAGAGTCTACATTATTTTATAGGCATGAGACTTCAGGTAGCACAATATTGACTTAACCTATTGGAGGCTATGTGACATGGAAAAGCTGTTAATCAAGGTTCTATCAGGATTTTCTTGTAGAGTCTAGAGTTTGAGACATGTAAGGTTTTTATTATGAGAAGTTGTAACTTTTGTTGACAAGATAGTGGCTCACATGTGACCTAAGACACTTCTGCCTCCCTCTTTGGCTGTCATGATTTGATTGGCAAAATGAGACAAAATGAATATTGTCCTCTGTCAGTTTCAAGTTACACTCATAATTAACCAAAGTGAACTAAACTACCAAGATATTGACAAAATTTTTCAGTAAAAAAAATTCACTGATGCTGTGGTCACAATAACAAAGTAATATGAATTACATTAATTATCAATTGTTTAACTGTGTAACTCCTAAGATCTGTTTCTTAATTCTCCCCTTTGGCTGTTACACATTTCCTTGTAATTTAGTGAAGAGAAATTGGTGTTAGTTGGTAAGTTTGAGTATTCTCATCACTTGTTTCCTGGATAATACAGTAAGAAGGAACATGTTAACCACTTTCGAGAGTTAAAGGGTTATGCTGCATGGATCTCTTTTTCCCAACTTACCCTTTCGTGTACCAGATCTTATCATGAAAGTGTGTCCAATGTGGGATGAGTAATCCACAGACAATCCAATGGCCAACACAACACAAATGGTAGTCACAATATCAATTGTCAGACCCCAAAAATGGATTGTTCCCATTATTCCAACCTGTTTTTTGAAAAGTAATGTTAAATGGCCAACGTGTTTTAAGTCCATTATGGTAAAAGAAAATAGTCACTGTCATCATCATTGTTAATATCAACATTAACATCAACTTCTGCTACTACAACCACTACTGCATGTTATATCTACACCTAAATACAATGACAATGTTGCTACATCATTAACATGACAATCTCTCTACTTTATTAGCATGACAATGTAGCTACATCATTAACATGACAATGTTGCTACATCATTATCATGACAATGTTGCTACATTATTACCATGACACTGTTGCTACATCATTACCATGACAATGTTGCTTCATCACTACCATGACAATGTTGCTACATCATTAGCATGAAAATGTTGCTGCATCATTAACATGACAATTTTATAACTCAAGTCAATTGAATCAGTGTTACACCCACCAACGTAAATCCAACACAGGAAAAGACTAAAAAGCATGTCCTCAAGCTTGGTAGCACAACAGCAGTAGCCACTAATACTGTTAAAAGTGCCAGGCCCGTGTTTCGGTAAAGCTCCGTTGAAATAATCTAAATAAATGAAATCAAATTACTCTGCTTATACTCTTAACTACTGGCAAGCAAGTTTACACAGGCATGTACCCCTGCAATTGTTCAGGAGTACAAGATGATTGAAGAATGAATTTCAAAACAGCGATCGATGTTGCCATGACAATTAATGAAGCATTTGCCTTAGAATTTAACAACAATGTCAATCAAGGCTTTCCTGATAAAGGGCTATTCATGATATAAAAGTGATAAGTCAATTTGACTGCCTACTTGTGTTCATGAACCTAGGCAAAAGAATTGAAGAAGTCAC